AGACGATCTTTTGGTCCACATTTTTCTTTAAAAAATCTAATCCTCCATAAGATCGCCCAGAACGGGGTATCAGCCGAATCCGGTAGGCAGAATTTAATGTTCAACGCTCACTTGGATGCTATGGCAACATGAGTAGAGAAAGGACACCAAATCATACACGCCACGAAATTGTAACTATTGTAAAGGCATACATGTATATACTATTCAAAATAGTTTAGGGATAATTATTCACATCACATACATGTACATGTAGGTTTGGGCCATCTGCATTTAGTAATATTAACACAATGACTGTCTACCACACCTGTCGAAATTCTTTGTTAACTCATTAAATGAAAACAGGTCCCACATATTGTCGACTTTCGCAGATTAATTAGGTGAATAAAAATAGGCCATTGTCAATCACACATATGCATTAAATCTCAAGGTTTACTGAATGTACTGAACGTATGTTTAAGATCACATCTGCGAATTAGGGTGTTGCCATGATACCCCAACAAAATGCCCATGGTTGAACAGGCCTGGCTTTTTAGACCAGTCCTGGCATTGATCACGCAGGCATTGGAAATGTCTGTAGTCGTCTTCTGTGGGTTTACTCTGCAGAATAATGATGGCAATATTCTGGTCTACAGATGTCCTTGTGAATGCACTCTCTCATTCATTAGACATGTAGGGATTTGGGAAATCACTACAAGCACTTTTAGTTATTTATTCCATTTTGTTTTGTTGTTTCATTTTGAATCTTTTTTGAGATAATTTTTGATGTCCCTAAATTGTTTTCAGTATTACCCAGTTTACAGATTAATTTCATGATGTACACACAATCCCTGTTCGTTCAAATATAGGCTCATAATAGAGTGAGCATAATGCAAATTGGAAGAAACTCCAAATTATATCTCATGTTTTATTTGGAGGATTTACTGGAAATTTATTTTCCCTTCTTTTGTATAACTCGATCAATATCTGTGCAAAACGACAGAAAATCATAATGTTTTCAGGATTACAGTTTCTACGTCACAAACTCAAAAGCACATGTATAGCAAAAATGACAATAATGTCGTTAACAACAGAAAAAAAAGATGAATTTACATACCTGGTTATATGTACAATTTCGTTTTTTACACTTGCCACATTTAAGAAGGCTTGTCTTTGTTCCACCTGTGGTGGACATCTGTGCCTCTCTTATAGCTTCTTTTGTTAGTTCACGTCGTAACTCTTTCAGTCTGTCACTTGCCATTTCCTGTATGATGCAAGAGAAATAATATCAAATGATTTTAACATTTCCAAACTTTCTTTACTTCAGTTGTTCACTGACGTGTACATAAGTTTACATCTCAAAAATGTAGTATTGTAGCCTTGTTAGTTACAGGCTCAGTATACTATTCAGTATACTTACCTCAGCAGTCATATTAGCAATTTTCTCAGGAGGGATACTACCACATAAAACTTGCTGACGTAATATTGGATTGCGCACATCCTTGAGATTAGCTACTCGACTACGTACTCTGGTTTTGTATTTCGCTTCAGTGTTAGTGAACTCAGTAAATATACGTGAGACAGGTTAAGAAAAAGAGGGTTGTAAATTGTTGTTGTTTCATTATGGAGCTTGAATTGTCCAAAAAATAGAGCATAGGCATCAGGTGGCCATCTTCAACCAAAGACAATGTTTAAGCAGTAATTACACATCCTAGAACGAAAACTGAGCTATCTAGAAAAAACAGCATCACAGCCCTATCTTCAGAGGAACTATCCTAACAGACATGCTAGTATTTGTCATACATAGTCCCTGTTTTTACTTGGCTGAATTAACATTTGAGAACACATACCTTGTCTTATACTAAGTTTAAATAAATTTGGTCCAGGCATTACACAGTCAAATTTTTATTTTTTGGACAAAAATGGCTGCCAGCCTGTTGAAATTCAATACTCCAAAACACTAAATAGATTATTTACAAAATCAGTGTTAGTATAGGATACATGAGAGCAATATGGCCACCAGTCAGCCATTTTAAATCAAGTTTGCAAATAAATTGACGTACATCAGTAACCCATTGTGGGTGTTGATGATTAGTTCATGTTGTTTTCAGCGACAAAAATGGACATCAGTTGGTCAAAGCTTAATGAGAATAATAATAAATTGTTATGCATATGTATACCTTTGAACAAAATCAGTTCAGTTATGTCTGAGAAATGATGGTGGCCAGTCAGACACACACACACATAAAAGGAACCTAAAACAATAGTCGCTGTTTCCGACAGGAAGCAATAAAAAATTACATTTCCCCCCACAAACTCTTTGAAATTGAAAGTGGCAAGCATTTACACAAAACGAAAAGACATACAATCAAATACGTATTGTTAAAGGATATAATCTTCAATAGTGGCAGCAATCTCCTCCGGCTCACCCAATTCCTCAGTACCCACACTTTCTATATCACCCACTAAAATGAAAAACACATACATGTAATGTGGCAATATTTTGTGTTTAGTTTGAAGCAAATAAAGACAGGACTGGCCATTCTCTTCTTGGACAACATAAGATAAATTCCCTCTATGCATTAGACTAATGAGAAAGAAAGTTATCTGCATGTAAAGTAATTTAATCAGAGTTCTGCCCAGCCTGAATAGTCATTTTTCCATTCTACTAGCTACGATTGTTAAATCCTTTAATTATTTTAACATTTATTTTAAATATTTCAATGTAAAATTAATCTGCTTTGATAAAAGTGAAAAAATATATACACTTTATTTTCGCAATCACGTCTAAAATACGTATTTGAGACATTGACCTCTGACCTGGCAGCCATTTTTTTTGTCAAAGCATGTCGTCAGTTTGTTATGGCCAAAGTGGAAACAAGAATTTAATTGTTTTCTTTTCCAATGGATTACTGGTAAATCACATTATCGGTAATAGTGAAAAATAAGTATTCCTTGTATCGCTGACTGAATATAGCTTATGAATTAAATTTTATGAACGAGTCATGAAGCCAAAAACACCAATGAAGTTTACTACACTCGAGTGCAAGTGCAGATTAAACGAGCGACAGCTTGACGCATCGCTGCAGGTGAAGTGAGCAAGTTATTGTTCAACTCGACAAATCTTACACGGAACTAAACTTGCAATGGTAATCCTTCCTTCTGTTTATTTATTGTTGTCTTTCCTTCCATTATCTTGATGTACGACTTATTTCGATCTGGTTCGTTTGTTAAAACTAACAGAATGACAATCGCAGCAGGTAAAACAAAAACACATTAGGCCGATGTCACACGTGTACGTTGATTTTGAACAGCGATGCCTTCTTTCATTAAACTTTTGTTGTGTGTTAATTTTTTGCATTGTGTTTTGTGTTAAATCCAACAAGGACAATAGAATGATGGTCCAGTGGTCAACATTCTGTGTGTATCATAAACAAATAGAATAGTGCCGGTCGCCAAATTTTTGTCCTGGTCGGAAATTCCGAGTGCCGGTCGCTAGCGACCGGCGCCGACCAGTGTGGGCAGATCCCTGTTTAATAATTGGCATAATTTTTAGGATTGTAAATACCACATCTGTCAACACACTCTGTCTCTGGTTACAAAATGCTGACAACCGTGGCATTCAATACTTGATAACAAGTTGTGATTATCCAACATGTCCAAAAACAATGCAACTACAACAGTTACTTTGTCTCATACACAGTGATAAACTAAGATTAATACACATAAATCTGTTGTAACTTATTTCATTTGATAATTCAATGCATACCATTAATATTCTATTCCCAATAGGTCATATCATTATACATCTGTCACCATAACGCTATAAGTTACAGCATGCCATAATAATATTGCAGGCTATTTTCATCTTACCATATTAAGAAATGTGAATTGCAAATATGGAATGATTACGCGCGTAAGCATCCTCTAATAATAAAAACAAACATTACCGCCACCAGGATTTGACCGGACTCCACACAAAGAAGTTCGCTTATTCTGTTCTAAACTTTTTGGATTTTGGCATTCCAGTGATGTATTATTGGGAGGAAAAGATGTATAATAATAATGTTATTACGAGGATACCACAATGTATGCACTCAGACAGTACACTATAGCATCGACCTCCTCTGCGAATCAGTTGATACTCTCGCTGTCTTCGTGCATACTTTTCAGTATCCAATAATAATCTTATATAATGTCATAACTGTATTGCATAGAAGTGTGTCAATCTCATTGTCGAAGCGAATGTTTCAGCCTACATATACTTACACGGTGTCTTGAGAGCATTTGTTAACATTTCTCTGCATTTTTCTCTAACTGCATCATTTGTCTTGGGTACCTGAAACTTACTAGATGATTTGGATTGTGAACTGCTACTGTTGTCGTTATTACTATTTATTGAATTCCCGTCTTGTGATAAATCTGTTGGTGAATCTCGAGATGAATCTTGATTGTCTTTGTTGCTACTTTTGCTGCTGGATGGTGCTATAAAAAATGAGTTGATTAATTTAGTAGATCAAGTTTAAAGTTATACATGTATTAAAAATTCATTGTGGGAAAAATTAAATATGGAAGTTGAATGATATACTATTAATCATAGTTTGTGTTACAGTATGAAGTAACTAGTTACTACAAAGTTTGTGCATTGTGTAATTGAGTATGCTAATCATTACAATTTTTGTTCAGAATAATTATGCAAATAATATGTATAATGTTTTGAATATTAATAAGTAAACTTTAACCACCACAGTGGTTTAATTTTCTGGAAAGAATACTGGTCTCACAGCATGCTGTCCAGTGTTCTCCCCATGATTCAAACAGCGTGGTTGTGTCGCCGTGCTGACATTGGTTTGCTCAAAATCATTACTGCCATTATTTATTTTCACACCATTTTTGTCTATGCTTTTGAGATATTGTTCTATCTATCCTGTTGGAAAGTTTATTTGCATGCAGTTGTAGCAAGTTGTAGTCTATTTAATTCTCTGTTTACACCATAGCAGATCTCCCATTGTCGAAAATGATTTGTAAATGAAATAGACAAAAAAAAATGTACAATAAACATGCTTTTTCTTCGTAAGTAGTTTATTCAAATTAGTAAAATATCACAAATGCACTAATATAAATCAGTCTGTACAGAACCTTACCGATCACACCACAAACGTCACAATGTCTGATTTGTAAACAAAAATCGTTTCAAGAAATGCTGATACCAATGTTGAAAACAAAACTTTCGATAAAAATACTAATGATTTAAACATCAATGAAATCAAAAAAACGTTTCAGGCTCAATAGAAGGTCAAGAAAACTCAATGTCAAATAGTTTACCTTGCTTGTCGTTTTTTATTCACAGACTGCCTATCTGCCGTTGGGGATGTTCTAAACATAACACTATCTAACTGACAACTCAAATAAAATACTGCATTCTGGGTAGTGTATAAACAAAGGCTATCATGACTGTTAACAGATTGTCACAATATTCAGTTTCCATTACAGCAAGGGATATTTTATACAGTTGTTATTGTTGTCAATTATCGAGAATCTACCATTACATATTTTGCCACTATTTTTGCACAACAAAATACTTTATTATGTAATTTTTGTTATGATTTTACTTATTTAAGCCATGACTCAATTTTTTTTTCTAAATTATAAAACTAAAAGTAATATAGTTTGTGAAAACTAAAAAAAATGCACAAGCATTATAAATAAATTATATGCTGATTATTATGCAAATGAGACACTATTCTTGATCCAAATTGTTGGGAGAACACTGCTATTCTCGGGGCAGAGCTACGTCACAAAATGTTCCATGCCAAGAGGTAAAAATGCCCGGATGTCCGCCCCTGTGAATCTACTAAATGTATGTAGACATGTGTGCAAACATATAAAAAAAAAAATACTACTATACCTGGTAATAATTTTTTCCAACTTTTAATAAGAGATTTAGCTAGACTAATGACTTCTTCGTTACTACTCTGTTTTCTTAGCGAATTCACTGACATACCAATTCG